GCTCAAAATGGCCCCAGATCAAGTAAGGTACGAGGAATAAGAAATTAATAGGAAGAAAACGAGTTGAAAGATTATTAAGGAAGTTGAAAAGAAATGCCTACATGTGCGAATATATGATGAAATTTTATTTGCAAGTTGTATGAAAACGCAGCATTTAACCCTTTGACGACAATGCGGATTTGCACGTAGCGTGCTCGTGGGACCACGCCTCTTTTTGGCGCGCCCAACTCTCGCACAAAATGGGGCAAAATTGTCCCTAAAAGCAGTTTTTCTATCAAAATTTTGACTATGACAATAAACAAAATATGACTGCAGTCTTAAGCTTTATGATCATGTATTGTTGGAATTAGAAGTGGAAGTTTGGAAAGAGATCTCGGATTTCAAAGGGATGGTGTTTGAAAACTCTAGAAGTTCAAATGTACAGTAGTTCCAATGTACATCGCCGAGCGAAGTACATTTGAACTACTGTACTGTAAAATTTCATATAAATTAGCTAGTAACAAACATTTCTGCAAAATATGCTAAACATAGGCGTAACGGAGCTTGCTTATAATTACTGATATGTTGAAAATGTTTTAAATGGGTAAAGAAGAAAATTTAGGGTGGTCCCACGCGACGGTCATAGTGGCACCCACCTGTGGGTGCCATTGTCGCCATAGGGTTAAGCTATTGGTATCATGCACAGAGGCCCTATTTGGGTGCTAATATAAAATTTTGATCAATTTGAAAAATGAAATCAATTGGCTGAAATTAGTTAACAGTGGCGGCTCGGGGTTACTATTAAATTGTGATAATGAGGTTCTCGGACAGGTATTCCGCTAATTTCTGTCGTTTCAAACCAATAGAATAATCAAAAAAAGTTATGCACCTGTGCAGTTCTACTATACTAAGTTGGTTAAATTCTGTCAAATTGTTCAACTGATGCTTTCTCTTGCCGTTACGAGAAGTCGAGTCTAGCCGGATCTGTTATCGAACAGCGGGAGATCCGCTGGCGAAAAATGTTAAGAACTGTAAAGCCTACCGTTGGCCATTTCTATTATATATTTTATTACTCTATCCCTCTTATCCCTTCCTAAGCCCTCCTTTTTGCTTGTTTTTCTTTTCTCGGGGTGCTGTCGCAAGTTATGGGGGCACTGTGATGGCAGCGTACTAGAAATGACATGATACATCTCATCTTGAACGAGATTGAAACAAAAAATCGAAAAAAAACGAAAGAAACACAAGCTAGCTGGTGTTAGACCCGGTGAATGTCCACGTATCTTACAATAACACAATGTTGGCATTATTTCTGTTCAATCGCCAGATGCGGGGGCATCGCGGAGGCAGTCTTGAAATCGTGCCAAACCTCTCGTTTTGAACGGGACTAGCATAAGCATTAGGTGGGGGGGGGGGAGAGGGAACATACTCCAGGGTGTAAATGATTTTCATTGTTCCTGGAGTTCCTGCATAACCTTAGGCATGGTCCTAGCGAGAGCCCCTGCATCTTGCGATACCTCCGTTTTCATTCACCTAAAGCTCTCACTTCCTAGGTGTGGCTAGAAGTTTTTCACTGATTGCATCACGACCGTTCCCTTGTTTAAACCCCTTGTCCGTGGATATTTTCAGATTCATGAGCTTACATGCAGAAAAGTTAGTTCGGTACTGCTTTTAATAAATAACCAGATTAGTCCCCCGTCAACCGCCGGGACCTTCCTTTCCTGCGCAAGCTTTCTATCCTCCGCTATGGTCCCTTCCTCCTGTGACACCAACACCTCCTGGAAGTGACGCGTATGCAACACAATGGTGTTTCATACAGTAGAAGGGACACAATCATGATATGACGGTAGATTTTTCGCTTCCCTTCCTCATCCTCCCTTCCTCTCTCCACTGCCCTCCAGCTGCCACTGCAGCACCATGTGGAATGAACGGAAGTGTGCTAAGCAGGTGTTTATATAGCCCTGAGAGTGTTATCACAACTATCCTGCTACAAAACATTGATATCTCAAATCCTGTAAGCTACCCGATTTGTTAGCGGTTTGTTTATCCCATGAGCTTCCTTCTCACTCACTTCATTTTGCGGACGGACACACATACATACACACACACACACACTCACACACACACACACACATACAGATACACAAACCGACACACAAAGTTAGCGCTTTATATAAATAGAAGGACAGTGGCACATTCGTAGAACTGTCATTCATTTTTTCTGAGCGGCTTTCTGAATATCAAAG